TTCTTTACATCTGCACAATAGTATGGTTAGGCCAACCCCAATGCGGATCACCAAAACAGACATTACCAAATCTCTGCGGGCAGACGCCGTTTAACCGGAGTCACCAAATATCTGGTCAAATCCGAACAGATATTTAACAAAAGCCGATGAAATTCATACAACCAGTAGGACAAAAATTAACAAAGTTTGAATTAACCGGAAAAAAAAAATCAAAACTACACTCGAGATACAGGACGATGACCTTGTACGCATGGTCCCTGAGACAGCCGACACCATAGTCCTTGTCTGCGCCGTCGCCACTGCCGTCAGAGCCGTCATATTCAACGTGCTTTCAGTCCACAGGAACATTGGCAAGCATCGCGACAACCCTCATTGGTTACTGCTGCACAATTGCGGTCCAGTAAGTTGGCCTCCTTCGCCTAGGCAGCGCCTTGGCCGCCTCGGTGGGGAGCCGGATCCCCTGACGTACGGCCACCTGACGTTGGGCCACTGACGCGTGGATCCGGGTCCACACGTCAGCGAGTGCGCCGTACGTCAGAGGAGCTGCGTCCCCTCGGTGGTGCCGACACAACCGTGGACTCAGTCGCGCGCAGCACACATTTGAGCCGGTCCAAGCACTCGGACTCGGCCAACCCCACTTTGAGGAGCTGGTCGCTGATCTGGCACCCGCCACAAGTGGTGGTCTGCGCGGTGTTCCTGGACCGGTCAATGCCTAGGCCTTCGCGACTGCACACCTCGCGAACGACACCCGATGGTATGCGTTTCATCACTACTAGAGCGCCGCCTCACAGGCCACCATGGAGGACACCATCATTCTTGAAGACGAGCTGTTGCCACCGAGGTAGTAGGCGAGGTGTCTGCGCTGTAAAAATTATTGAATGATTGTGTTGTTATGTGTTGTTGTATTGATCTAACACTCGTAGGGGTATATATAAAGTACAACATGCGATGAGACTTGGAGTACAAGACAAGTCATAGTATATTAAAACTAATTCTATCTCCATCTCTCCTTATCTCTAACTGAACACGTTTATATTATTACATTCCCCCTCACTCGTAGCGGGTCGCCGGAGTGAAGCGGACAAGTACGACTGAATTTGAAGTCTTGTGCTTCCGTCGTCTTCTCCGCTGCGCCATCATCAATTGCGTCTCTGATGGGTCGGCACCTAGGGCGGTGACTGCGTCCCCTTCTCGTGCTTCCTTGTCTCTTCCCTCTTCCCTGTCGTAGTCACAGCAGGAGTGACGTGAACGCTGATGACGACGCGGAAGCTGTTGACTGGAGTTGTTGCCGATATGTTGCTGTAGACGTAGCCATTAATGTCAATATCGAGGTAGCCGATCATGGTGATGTAGCCGTGGTCGAGGTAGTCGTGGTCGATGGTGTGGTCGTCGTGGATGATGAAGCCGCATAGAGCCTGAAGGCGCAAAAAATGCGCTATGACGGAGCTGCAGACGTGGACGATGCACCTTGCGGATGTGAGAGGGTGCCATCGGTGACAAGTTGCCGGTTTTGCCAAGACCAGAGGAAGCCCATCAAGAACACATCGGTTTTGCTAGAACCGTGTGGCCATGTAGGGTCGTCACTGTAGTGACGCCGTGTCGATGCAGTCGTGCTGTCGTGGATGACGCCATCGATGCTGTCGTCGTTGTCGCGTCTTGCAGAAAAGTCTGTCAGAGGACACTAGGTGTCCATCTTGTGTACAAGGCAGCGGCGGTGCGTTGACGAAAATGTTGGTGAAGACCATGTTGATGAAGAGCTTGGCGATGATGTTGCAGCGGCGTGTCGACGATAATGTGTCGCTTGAAGGCGTCCCTCGCGGCGACCAAGTGTCAATGCCGTGTCGCGCCAGAAAAGTCAATGAAGATTGCATCTCGTTCCACACCGGCCTGACGTGTGGATGGTGCATGTTGAGATCGCTTCTCGTAGACATACTCGTCGAAGTATATTGGCTTGTAGTCTGGCGTAGTGTATAGCTTGATGATGCGGCGTGGGTCGGCGGATGGTGCGTCGTTCAGTCGCGTGGCCGCCCTCCCGGTCGATGCCTCGTATATGCGCAAATGGATGTGTAGCTGGCGGTTGTCGATGGCTGCACGTGTCGGAGTCCATGTATCGCTGCATGCATCTCCTCGCATGGCTGGATGGGCCTTTGACAATGGAGGCTGCTGGGGCGGCTTGGGCGGCACCGTAAGCCAGCCGCCGCCCGCTCCCCTCCCTCCATCTCTTTCCCTCGCCGTCACCTGAGGAGTCCGGCGAGAAATCTCACTGCGCTTTCGAGGAGGGTGGCAACCAGGCGTTCTCTCTCCAGCCCAGGCGAGTGGTGCGGGAAGCCAACGCGTGGAGTGCTCATGGCGGCTGGTGTCAAGGCTCTTGTAGATCCGGCTCGCTGGTGGTCGGGGATGCAACGTATGATGGCGGATCCGGTGAGCAGTAGGTGCTCCGTTGGTGTAGTGCAGTCGTTGGGCGTCGACGTGGCTTCGGTCGTGGACGTCGGTCCCCAGCCCGGGGGATCTGGATCTGGCCGGTCTGCCCCCCTGATCTGCGGGCTGGTGGCCTAGAAGGAGTGCTGCTGGCGGTCGGTGGTGCCCGGTTGGCGCGAGCAAGTAGGCTCTGGCCGTGGTGGATGCGTGGGGTGCAGGGCCGATCTGGCTTGTGCAAGCCCGACGTCGCGGGGGCTCAGCGGGCCCGTGTTTGCCGGCGGTGAGGAAGATGGTGGTCCTGGGCAGTGTTGGCGTGCTCGCTGCGTTGGGGTGCGCGGCCAGCGGAGGTACTTGTCGGCCTTGGCTGGCTGCGTGGGAGTGGTTGCTCCGGGCGAAAGCTTGGCCGGTGCTCGCCGGTCGGCGACGACGGCGCCCGTGGGCGTCGTTATCCTCCTTGGAGGCATCGTTGGGATCTGCATCCTCTACTCCCGGGTCAGGATCTTCGGGTGAAACCCAAGATCCTGCTATAGGATCGGGCGGTGGCGTCGTCTTCAATGTCGTTTTCCCCTCTTTAGAACGCCGTCTTGAAGATCCTGGTCCCATTGGTGCCTCCTACGGGCTGGCCGTGCACGGCATTGTGGCTATCCGTTTGTCAATGAGGGTGGTTGGACTTCTATGGCAACGATGACGGTGGTGAGCATGGTCGGGGGCATGGCATTGGTCGTGGTAGTTGGCTCTTCTCCGACGTGTCCGTTGGATGGCCTTAGCTGCTTGTTGCTGTGAAGTCGAAGCCGCGGTGCAGGGCGGTGCGGGGCCCTGGTGGCGTACGACAGGTGCTCCGTTTGGCGATTCTTCGCGACGCCAACCTTGCCTAGTTCTCCGTAGTTCTTCGTTGGAGTCGAAGCTGCGTTGTCTTGTTGTGGGTGGATGGTGATCCACAACGTGAGTATAGTGTTGTTCTGCAGCCAATAGGTTGTCGTTTTTTTTTCTTTTTTTTTGATCTTTGGATCCTCTTCATGTTGTTTTTCCGTTGCTTTCTGCTAAATCTAATCGAAGCCAGCAATTTGCTGGATCTTAAAAAAAAAGATAATGGAGGCTGCTGGTGGCTGTTTGAGGAGCCGGTGGCCGCTCTGGATCACGCTTGCGCGATTCCTGCCGTGCGTGCTCGTGGCCGGCCCTCCTGTGTGGCCTCGGCTGGTGGACGCGAGGAGGTGGTCGTCGTTGCCCTTGATCTCTCAGCCTGTGCAAAGCTAGCTAGCCTGAGGCTTGATCCATCACTGGCCAAATTACCAAGCTAGCTCACGATGCGAGGATGCCGCGGCCGGCGCGGCCTTCCGGATCGAAGGTGTCGTGTGCCTGGTGTCGAGGGAGCCGCCCAAAGCCACGAGATGTGTAGCTTGATGCCGCAGGTGATCGCCGCCGCGTACGTCGATAGGTGTTGTACGATTGGCCGCCGGTATAAGCACCAATTTTTGCTGGAATTTGAGGGCAGCAGGATTTTATTTGGTGGCTAATTGAATTAATCTAGTGGATGGATTTTGGAAAACTCGAAATTGGAAACCTATGAAAATCTAATTGGATCTAATCTATCTAATGAACCGGTCTATCTTTGATGGTCGGAAGCCACGCCCTCGGGGAGAGGAGATTAATCTACCCGGAGGCGACACACTGCGGAAGTGGTGGAAGGTCCTAGGATCAGCGTCGTTGGACAAACTGCTCTAATATCATGTAGAAATTGTAGGATGGTTGTGTTGTTATGTGTAGCTGTATTGATCTGACACTCGTAGGGGTATATAAAAAGTACAACATGTGGTGAAACTTGGAGCACAAGACAAGTCATAGTATATTAAAACTAATTCTATCTCCATCTCTCCTTATCTCTAACTAAATATGGTACCTGAGCCAAGAGTTTCAATAAACGATTCTGCGGTCTACATCAATCCCACGTCTAAGGACTAAAATAGACTAGACGTGATGGGTGGTGTTGAAGTGTAATGTCCGGTCCTCTTTCATAGTTCGGACTGATGGTGAACTGGTTAATTGCATAAACTTACAACCAAGAGGTTCAGGGTTCAAAACCCAGTAAAAGCAATAAATAATTGTGGCCTGCCCCCGCTTGCGCTGCCTTCGTCGTATAGCCAGTAGCTCCCGGAGTGACAACTGCGTACACCTCCAAGAATATTTATTTATCAGGTAAGATGCCTGTGTAAATTGCAAGATTTTTGAAAGTTTAATCATGACTCTCAGTTGGAAAAAATATTTATATTGTTGGAGACAATTGTAAGACTACTGAATTTAGTTGTGCTGAAACTTTCAACCAAGATGAAATGATTCCACATTTGGACCCTGGGATGGTTTCTTCAACCGTTGATCCTGATGCTGCTGGATACGCTGAAAGAGCAAACAAAGCCAAGAAGCCAGTCAAGATTAGTGCCCGAAGCCTTGCAAAGCCGGAAAGAAACGAGGTGATGAAAGCTGCAGCAAAAGCTCGGGCATCATCCTCTATTCTCCGACCAATAGATGCCCGCCATGGCAATGAAGCTGATATTAGCTCCAGTGGCAATGCCAATGTCAGGAGTAGCATGAGTGTTGACTACAGTGCTACAAAGGAATCGAGGAGTGAGATGCTGCTGTTCCCTCTACGGAACTTGTATCCGCAGAGTCTTGCCAGTTACGATGACTATGAGACTGGCACACAGACTGCAAACAGTTTAAACAGCCCGGTCCACATCCACAAGCTTGCCCCTCATGCTCAATTTCGTGTAGCACCTCATCCAGCTCCACCTCCTAAAAGGCCTGCGCTAGGGATTACAAGGCCACATGTTCCTGCCACACATATAAGTAACAACCCAATGTTCCAGTCAGCCACATCATATGTCAGGGAGAACCGAAGAGCCTCTGTTGTCTGGGATCAAGAGGCTGGTCGGTACGTGTCAGTGCCCATGCAAACAACAAGAACAGGGCCCGGTGTTGAGCTGCCTGCAAGAAACCCAAGTTTCTTGGTGAATCCAAGTGGTGAACCAGGCAACCATGGGAGAAATCTTGCACCTGCCAACACAACTTCATCAGCGATTCCTTCGGGGCAGCTGTCCGAGAGGTTGACGTACACAGGCCAATCAATATTCTTTGGCGGGCCAATCCTGAGCACCACTGGCATAAATGAAGAAAGGAATGAGGCGGGCACAAGAGTGCGTCCTGAGACAAGCAGAGATCCCAACTCCCACCAGCGTGACATCCGTGGTGAGAAGGCTCGGACAGGCTCCTTCCCGTTGTATGAGCCTAGGAATTTCTAGAAGAACCTGCTTTGATGGCAAGTGACCTTGACTGGCTGTTTTACTCTTCTATACTATGTCGTCTGCTCAAGTGCCACCACCACGACAGTGGGGGTGATGTTGATGCACTGCACCCCATGCAGAGTCAGGGAACTGCTAAAATAGTTGACCCGGGACACATAGATAACGATGCTTCTTAGAGCTTTATTATAGTGAGCGAGGATGGCGCTAACTTTGTTTGATGTTTTACAAACTGACTGATAGTCGCAGTTTTATTTTGCGTGTATTAGGAGTTGAGATGTTTGATGCGCTTGGCATGTAGTAGAAGAGCTGATTAAACTTGTCCTTGATGTGTAGAACCTTGTGATTTGCCGCTGACTTTGTTCACATTACGGACTTCGGAGTGTTCATTGCAAGTCTCTGTTCTATTACTGCTGTAATAGTAGCCCACGTGTGAAGGCATTGTCTCCAACTATCTTGGCGTTTGACTGCTTTATTTTCGTGTTGAGAGAATGGAATTTGACCGGATGATACTGCTTGCTGCATAATTGATGTTCATTTTCCAAACTAAATTAGTGAGATGGGTATGATTGCAATTGAATAATTCTTGTTCTGTATCATGAGTTCATATCTAAATAAACTGCGGCTTATTAGTGCCACTGCATTGCTGTCAACGTGCCAAGGATGTTGCAAAATTCCCCGCGTTTATGTAAACTACTCCCTCTGTCCAATAATATTATCAGACAGAGGGAGTACCTATTTGAACATGGCAAGAATAATGATAGTACCGGAAGTTAAACTTAGTTTCATTGCATCCATAGGTTGTGGATGCTCTATGGAAGCATCACTTCTGCGCCATCAGGCTCATTGCCACAACCTTTAGTTAGGAATCCTGTGTTTAATTCTCTTTTCTTTACGGGCTGACTTCTTGATCGAAGCAACATCTTTCTCAATACCACACAATCAGATTACCATTCACCTCGCGCGGGAAACAGATCTTGAATCCATATGCCATGGGAGAAGAACAAAGGAGGATGTAGATCATACAATGGCGGCCAGAGTGTTATTTTTTGTTTTGTTTTTGGATGAAGTGGTGTTCTGGGTGTTTGCTGTATGCATTGCAACATATGATGTATCCTGGGGATATATATAGAGAGATCTAGGGTTGTAATGACTGTTGGAAATATGCCCTAGAGGCAATAATAAAAGGATTATTATTATATTTCCTTGTTCATGATAATTGTCTTTATTCATGCTATAGTTGTATTATCCGGAAATCGTAATACACGTGTGAATACATAGACCACAATATGTCCCTAGTAAGCCTCTAGTTGACTAGCTCGTTGATCAACAGATAGTCATGGTTTCCTGACTATGGACATTGGATGTCATTGATAACGGGATCACATCATTAGGAGAATGATGTGATGGACAAGACCCAATCCTAAGCATAGCACAAGACCGTGTAGTTTGTTTTGCTAGAGCTTTTCCAGTGTCAAGTATCTTTTCCTTAGACCATGAGATCCTGTAACTCCCGGATACCGTAGGAGTGCTTTGGGTGTACCAAACGTCACAACGTAACTGGGTGACTATAAAGGTGCACTACAGGTATCTTCGAAAGTGTCTGTTGGGTTGAAACGGATCGAGATTGGGATTTGTCACTCCGTATGACGGAACAAGGTATTGGGATACCAACGGTCGAATCTTGGGCAAGTAACGTACCGATTGACAAAGGGAATTGTATACGGGGTTGCTGAAATCCTCAACATCATGGTTCATCCGATGAGATCATCGAGGAGCATGTGGGAGACAACATGGGTATCCAGATCCGCTGTTGGTTATTGACCGGAGAGCCGCCTCGGTCATGTCTGCGTGTCTCCCGAACCCGTAGGGTCTACACACTTAAGGTTCGATGACGCTAGGGTTGTATGAATATGAGTATGCAGTAAACCGAAAGTTGTTCGGGGTCCCGGATGAGATCCCAGACGTCACGAGGAGTTTCGGAATGGTCCGGAGGTAAAGAATTATATATGGGAAGTCGAGTTTCGGCCATCGGGAAAGTTTCGGGGTCCACCAGTATTGTACCGGGACCACCGGAAGGGTCCCGGGGGTCCACCGGGTGGGTCCACCTATCCCGGAGGGCCCCGTGGGCTGAAGTGGGGAGGGTACCAGCCCCTGGTGGGCTGGTGCGCTCCCCTGGGCCCCCCTCTGGTGGTTCATCCGATGAGATCATCGAGGAGCATGTGGGAGCCAACATGGGTATCCATATCCCGCTGTTGGTTATTGACCGGAGAGCCGTCTCGGTCATGTCTGCGTGTCTCTCGAACCCGTAGGGTCTACACACTTAAGGTTCGGTGACGCTAGGGTTGTATGAATATGAGTATGCAGTAAACCGAAAGTTGTTCGGGGTCCCGGATGAGATCCCAGACGTCACGAGGAGTTCCAGAATGGTCCGGAGGTAAAGAATTATATATGGGAAGTCGAGTCTCGGCCATTGGGAAAGTTTTGGGGTCCACCGGTATTGTACCGGGACCACCGGAAGGGTCCCGGGGGTCCACCGGGTGGGGCCATCTATCCCGGAGGGCCCCGTGGGCTGATGTGGGGAGGGGACCAGCCCCTGGTGGGCTGGTGCACCCCTCCTGCCCCCCCTCTGTGCCTAGGGTTGGGAACCCTAGGGGAGGGGGCGCCTCCACTTGCCTTGGGGGGCACTCCACCCCCTTGGCCGCCGCCCCCCTAGAGATCCCATCTCTAGGGCCG